AGGGTCAGTCTTCACTCCTTTGTCTACCAGTGAAAAGTAAAGCTAGCTGAGATGAACAGACGAACATGTAAATGCCGAGTCAAAGGTGAAAAGGCCACAAAAATCACAAATCCTAAACCAGTAAATTTCTTTACATTGCTCTAGATTCGTCCCTGCTTTGTTTTACTGCTGAATTAATTCTCTTTCAGCTGTCCATGCACAAAAGTCAAAATGCTACCTAGGACTCAGGCAGCCTATCACAGGTGCATATTCCCAGCAGGCAGAGAAGCTGGCCTGAAAATAGGCAGGTTATAGTTGACAGTATTTTGCTAAATTCTTTATCACTGTAGTCAGTACTATGAATAAAGCTGGTCTTGGCTGGCTGCAGAGCACTCGGCAGCAGTAAGCAATTTGAAATCACTGCACTATAATAAAGCCAAACACCAGAAGAATGGTCCCAGCATGATACCTGGAGTAGGAAAAAGAGAACCATCCAAGGGCATGCCCTAATAAAGGAAAAGGAATCAAGCTCACTCTCTAGCCAGCACAGATCTAACACTAACCACTGCAGGGTTAACCTGGTATTAACAAAAAAAGGACACTTGCCAACACTGCTGAAAATATGGCACCTAGATGCTGTCCTGTTGGCTCAGTCCAACTATCCTGGTACTCTGCCTGCAAGAATCACCAATTTCTTGAAGCTTCAGGGAGGCATGCAGGCAGTGGGCCTTACTTGGTCACTTCAGTTGCTCACGATTTTCCTTCCCAGTTTCTATATGGTTATGAGCCAGCAACAAAGCAAATCTTACTGTTTCAGAGAAATGCAATCCCAGTGAGGAGGTACAGCATGAGCTACTGCTGACTGAGACCATGAACAAATTGAATCTGGGCATAAGGGGGCATCTGAGTTGGATATCTAAATTTGACTACAGAAGCCATAGGTAGCAGTGTTATTCTGTCTCAGCAAAAGTTGCTCAGCATTATAAAATAACATGAGTGCAAATGCATGCCAGTCCATGAAGCTCTAACACATAATTCAAAGTGTCCAACCTAAGCCAGGAATTTATGCCAAACGAGTGTCTAAGAGTTTCATTCAGAGTTCCCTGCTGGGAAAATAAGTGGGTTTTTTCCTTCTTATTTTCATTAGTTTTAAGAAATACATTTAAAGGATTTGATTCAGTAATGAGAGCATTTAATGAGAGCATTTCCTTTAAAGAGCTGAACAGTTGGCAGCAATATTGCACAAAAGGAATATTTCAAGCATTTGGTTATAGAGATCATGAGTATCACACTTCAAAACAATTTCCTTCAACACAGAAAAGGCATTTCCATTTTCCAGTAGTAAAAGTAAATTCTTCATGCTATTTTTTGGTTTATTTAAAACTAGGCAGAAAGTAAAAAAAACTTTCCAGTGGTTCAGTTCAATGTCAGAAGTGGCCAGGTGCCACTTTGTAGGAATAAATTAAGGGTCCCTCCCCATCACTGACACTCGCTCCTGAGTTGGCACAGCCTGGGTATGTTAGAGAAGCAGAGTGCAGTTCCTGGCGGGGAGGAAGAGGAAGCCATGAATGATTTCTTGTTACCCCTTTAGGCCCTAGACGGCCATGCAGCCGCCTTGGCCATCAGAACACAGGGCTTTTGCAGCTGGCTGGGCAACATCCCCAAAGGCCTCTAAACATAGGGAGAACAGTCAACAGCTAAACACTTTTTTTAATTAAGTTCATTCTTCATACAACAACATGAAGAAAAGATAAGATAATGAGCCACCTGCAGCCTGCACACAAGTGGTATCCAAGGAATAATCAGTTTGCAAAGCTGGGCCAGATATTTTATCTCTGTGGAAGATCCCCAGCAAGTGAAAGAGGCCAGCTGAGTTGCCAACCAGCATTTTAGCAGTGCCTGTGCCCCACTCCTTTCCTGTTCTGCTTATTAGCTTTGTAGACCCAGTGAAAACAAAATGAGTCACCAATAACACCAGCAACTAAGTCTGCCTGGAATCTGAATCTGGCATATTTATAAAACATGTTTTATTTCTGAGAGGATCTCGTTGAGATACTGACATTATTAGCATCCAATCTGCCAAAACCAGGAAAATATATGCAGTCCAAATAAGTGCTGTCAAATATGCAAACCCCAGTGCCCCACAGCACTAGGGAAGCTTTACCGATTAGGCCCCTGAACACAAACTCCTCACTAATTGAAGCCGCATTTTTTGTGTAATATTTTACAATTCCATTTTTCCAATGTTAATGCTGTTTATAACAAATCCACTAACACTGTTTGTGCGGCAATTAAAATGCAAACCAAACTTGCACATGCCAATAATGGATAATTAAACCTCAGCATTAGGCTTGGCATCTAATAAGCTTTCTTACTTTTGCTGTGGTGGCAGATCCCAAACTGAACCTGCACTATTTACAGGTCTCAGGAAACACCAGGGAGAGCCAAGATGATGATGTGTGCTTATACACAAGTCTGATCTAAATGTGTGTGTGCTTAAAGGAAACTAAAATAAACAAACAATACTAGTTATGCCTTTTCCATTTGCTCCCTTTGCAAAACAGAGATGTTGAGTTAATAATACAGTTTGACCCTACAGCACTGCTCCTGGAGTCAGTGCGAGTTTCACATGCATAATCACTGCAGGATTGGCCACAGCAATGTAAAGGAAATCCAAAATGTTTGTTGGACTATGCTCACAGCTAATCCTACTGGCACTGTAAATAGCCTTTGCATTAAAAAAAAAAAAAAAAGTTCTGCTACACAAAACTGTAAAAATAATAAAAAATAAAAAACACGAACAAAAAAAGCCCACTAGCCTCCTAAATTCCTAATAACGTAATCGTTACAGGACTGTACTGCACAACAGTTGAATTGCCAGCAAAACGAGCAAGGTACTGGAGATTCATTCCCTGGGTGTCATTTAGAAATCATTAAAAAAAATTAGGATCTGGAAGTAATGCCTGCGACTAGTCTACTTAGTCTCATGTTTCTATTATAGCCACCCTCATCTTCCTTTCCCTCAGCCCCTCCACTGGGTGTTGCAACCACCTGTTACATCTTGCAGTCCTGCAGACTGTAAACTCTTTCAGGCAGTGACTGTCCTGCTGCATGCCCTTCAGCACCTGGCACAACCAGACAATGATCCTAACAGAGGTTGCTGATGTTACTGTAATGCAAATGCTGAATCACTAGAATGTTACTATATAAATGTTAATTCAAAATGTTAAGTTGCTGTCTCTTACTTGTACATAATCTTGCATTCTGCATCAGCCTAGCCCTTCCCAGAATACAAAGCAAATGAAAAACTTCCTAAGCTGCAAAGAATCAGACAGGTGAGAAGGAAAACCATTTCTGAAATCATTGTTGAGGCCCTGATGTACGGCCCTAATATACTTTAGGCACACAGAATCTTCTTTTTCAATTTCTCCAGCCAGGCAAATCTCCTAATACTGCCCAATGATTTTACAGAGTGAAGATGATTTCAGCAAGTTTAAGCCCAATACTGAGGGCCTTGTTATACATTACACTTAGGATGCATTTTAGATGGTAATAGGCATTATTACAAGTCAGAAAGTTTTCTGAGCAATCTTATGGTAATGCTTTTTCACATCACATCACAGGTACACCAGTGCCATTAAGGAAGCCATCTAGTAATAAGTCATGGGCTCAGTAGTACTGTTTCAAGGCATGGGTGGGAGCATGATTCTGGCCAGTAAATCAGCAGCAGCTCTGGTGTGTTTTAGAAGAGGACAGGGTGGGAACTCGTAGGAGTCTAGGCTAGGCACAGTGTGGGCCTAGATCCATTATCATACCAAACAAAAATATATATTTTAGATTATAGGTCTTGGCAATCTGAGCTTCACTTGAATGGTTTCTAGCACCACGACAACAGAAATGTCCCAGAGTTTACAAGGCCAGGCATTAATTGCATCTGTACTGTGAAGTCTTTTCAGGAATCTGCCATTTGAACATGGAGTTTATCAGCTGTTCCCCAAACCAAATGCTCAGCAAGGATGCAGTGGCAAGCCAAGTAGGATGCAGAACTGCTACCACAATGTTCTTGAGAATGCTTCAAGATGCATAGTTATGAGGGTCAGATGATCGATGTGGTCCACTGCAGTAATAGCTTGCAGACTATCCCCAGTGATGTCTCCAAAGTTTAGCTCTAATAAGAAAGATTTAATGGAGAGAGGGAATAGCTGCTGTGCATGCCAAGGTGCAGACTGATTTCTTTTCTGAGTTCTCATCCCGATGTTGTTGCTGTGATGCATCTGAAAGGAATACACACATCACTGAAGCCAGGACTCAGCTAAGCAAGCTGAGGGGAAGCCTCCTGAGCTGAGGTGTTGGGTTTTTTTTTTAAATTGCAAGCTTCTCTCATTTGGTGAGATTCACTTTTCTCACTAGCAATTATTCACTTTTCACAATCACATTTCTAATCACAAAACCCTCCACTGCCACACAGGTCAAACCTGAGGCTTCACAGAGATGCTTGTCCTTGCATTGCTCAGCTACAATCTCTCTCTTCATTGGAGTTTCTTCCCTGCTTCTCAGTAGTTCTTTTTCCCATATGCCCCCTGCTGCATCACTTACCAGCAAACCCAAACTCACCACTCTTATGACATCATTCAACAGGCTATGTATGCACCTCTATCCCCCTTTTATATGGGGCACAGCCTCTCCACGGGCCAAAACACAACAGGAAAAATACACCCTGGAAATGGAAATAGCAGTGACTTTCCATTTTTCTCTGTGCAGTTTCAAATGAGTTAATGAGATTTATTAAAAAGAGTTCAATACTTTATTTGCTTTTTAAATATCCCCACAACGGAAGTGGAGGGCAGTGCATGTGAAGGAAGGAAATGCACCTGAAGAACACAATGCAATGGAAATAGGTTTACAGTGGTGGCCTGGGTCTCCCCAGAGTCAAGTCAGGAGCTGAAATCGTAGTCCCATCTGTTCACTTCAATGAAAGCCCAAGTGGTCACATAGATGTAACAAATACTGGGTGGGGAAGAGTTAAATACACTTATTGAAGAAGGGTTTGGCTTCCAAACTTCACCCACAAAATGAATTTAGCTAAAATTTTCATTACAACTCCCTTCTCAAACAGCTTCCCAAGTCTCCTCTCATGACATCCAAGGGCATGCAGTATGCTGCCAATTCCTTTCCTGCATACAAAGAGTATATGGAGAGTTATATGAATTCCTCTCTCCCTAAGTTAGTATTCGTTGTGTAACTCTATCAAACATTTGAGGACACTGTATATAAAAAAGATGCCATGCAAATTAACATACTATAAATTTGATATTTTCATTTCCTCACTCTTTTACAAATCAACATCAGTGATTTCTGTGCATAACTGAGCAGAGAACCTTTAGCCACTTTCCATTTTGAGTGAAAGCACTCTATAAAAAAATTTCCTACCTAGTGGTTTAAGTTAAAAAACAAAGGTAGTAAATGGCACTGTTCATTTCAGAAGCATGCATCAGAAAGACCTTCCAACAGACTACTCATTTTACCTTTGATTCGGAGAATAGTGCCAATTAATGCTGGCTGCATCTGTGGCCAAGACTCCAAGAATTTGGACCAGAGCAGAACAGCTGGTTTGCTACCTGCCTCACAAAGCTATAAAGACAGCTACTCATGATATAATCATCCCCATTAGTTTAGTTGGAAAGAATTTTTTGTCAAATGAATGGCAAAGCAGGTAACAAAGGCGACTTTCAGAAAAGATTACAAGAGAAGACAGGAAACCCTTTGATTAAGAAGCTGTTTGAAATGTTATCAATACCTTGATCGCCTGTCGAAGGTCAAGAAAACCATTTCTAATCACCCAGGCCCTGCTTTCTTGAGGGAATTTTCTGCCCAACATACAAAATGAATCTGTTGAACAAATCAGATCTGTCAAAAGCACGTGCAACCACACTCCTCCCTCTACCCCAAATTGCCCACCTGTTGTTAAGATGAATGCAGATTTTCCATGCGACTGCTAAGTTGTTAGCAGTGAGCAGCTCAGGCCAGGTAACCTTCTGCTACGTGATGTGAAAACTGATTTAAAAAGCAGAAAAGGAATAACTATTTCAGGCATCAACTGCATGGACAGAATGTAAAGATTTCAAGGCTCTTAAGGCTTCTTTACATTTACAATGTACTTTTAGAAATACCATAAATCCCATGTAAAGCAGAAAAGGACTAGAACATCCCAAAGGTAGGAATAATAAAACATGAAGTCAGTGGCAGAGGTTGAAGTGCTTCAGCTGTGTGCCTCTGTTGAAGTTAGTGCAGAGCTGGACCCATGTCCATCTGGCTGACAGAATCCTCACCTCCCTCAGTTCAGAGTTAGGGTTGTGCCCATTTTTTATATAATTTCTGAGACTAACATAGTAGTTTCATAGTAGTTTGGGGTCAGAAGGGACCTGAACAGGTCATCTAGTCTGACCCCCCACCACTGGGACAACATAACACAAGTCTAACAACTAAAGTTTGGTATCAAGGATTTCAGATCAGTCTCTAAACTACAGAGTTAGCGTACATCCCCAGATGCAACTGAAAAGGACTCAAGAGAATGAAGAATGAGTTTCAGTGCTGTTTTTTGAGAGAAGCTGAGACACTATTATGCTCCATGACAGTGGTGTTTTAAAAAATGCACAGTATATAGACAAACATTTAGGGCCAAACATAACTACTCTCATTTCATACTCTCCGTAGCCGGCTTTTCATAAGCTAACTCAACATAATAAACAACTTTGGACAGTAAATAAATGAAACAGCAATGAAAGAACTACATGTCTCACAGATTCAAAACTTAGAAGCATATGCAAGCCATAAGCAGCAAAAATTACACTAATTTTACCATATCCTTGTTTTTGAAAGGCAGAATGTAGAAAAAAAAAACATTTCCAGAGCCATGGCCTAAAGCTGGCTTTTTCATGAAGACACTGTTTAAAATGGCATCCCTCTCCCTATGGACTGTACACTTCCTGCGTGCTGGCAGGGAGAAAAAGCTAGTAGCCATATGAAGCACAGTATATTGATGCATCTACTCCTCCATGCTTCTATTCTGGGGAAGAAACCCAGCTTTCCATGTAAGATATGCCCCCCAATTTTGGAAAAACATGTGGGTGGTACGCAAGTAAATACGGCATACTAACCAGGAAAGGAGACTGGGCTGGGTTTTGTTTGGTGAATAATGGTATAAAGGAAAAAGACACAAGTATGCTGAAAATGCCCCCAGAAGTTAAGATTTGTAAGAAGAATGTTATCTTTGCCACATTTTTGACTCCTACCATTCTCATTTTTTGTCCTGTCTCTGCCACCTTGCTTGCTTAAATTCTTTCAAGGGTACTGTCCACGGAACAGTCATTTTCCTCCTCTGAATATCCTCCAAACCTCAAGAGGTAGCATCTGACCAACACCGAAGCGTGCCTGGCTCCCTAACTTGCTTGTTCCATGACAGTCTGCCACATCCAACGAGCAAAGATTTTAGGGGCTGCTTGAAGAAGTACATATGTTTCTATGTCATGTATAAACTACCACATAAGCTGTCTGGACCAAAGACCCTCCTATCCCTTTTAAGCACCAATCAGTTCTTTCTTAATAAATAACTACAGTTTTCTTAAAGGATGCCTCTGAAATGTGTCTACAAAAGCTATGGAGCACTGGCTTCCTCTTTGTGACCATGCATTATACTGATTGCTAAAATGTTTGATAGAGCCACCTGCTGTAACTCTACCAGCTCAAAGCACCTGACATTGTGCTAAACCACATTTCACTTTACATGCCTAGATGGTAGGTACTCAGCTACATCACTGCAGCCTCTCTCATCTATGCAGTTTTGCATTCAATTTCACCCTGGAGGGGAAGTGGCAGAAGGGGAGAGTTCTTCCCACCTTTCAGCCCAATAAGCTACTGGTTTGATTACGGCACATGCCCAGGGAAAGGGACACTCGGGCTCCAGGCCTCCCTGACCCAGAGCAAATTAATTATTCTTTCTTGACGACTACAGCAAAGTGCTGGATTCTGCACTTCAATGTTTTCAAATTCAGCCTAAACGTATATTTGGAAGATATGCTTTAGCAAAACACAAGCTGGAGACACAATATGAGCCGAGTGCGGATGAAATTTAGGGTTATGTCACAGAAGGGACTACTAAATGATCTATGATCCCTGATGGTTTTAAGTTCTATTAATATAAATTGATCACCCCGTTTGCTAATCATAAAAGACTGCAACCCAAACTGCCTCTGTGTGTTTCTATTTCATACATTGTATATTTTAATCTGACAACTGTTTTGATTTTGTTCAAGATATCACATATACAACTTCAGGTTTGTGACAATGCAAAAGGAAGGCAATAGCACAGGAAACAAAACTTCTCACAAAATTATGCTAAATTTTAAGCTACAGTGCACAAGTAACAAACTCCAGGAGTAACCAACATGGTTTTAAAGATCTGATTACTTTTCAAACTGGCTGCTTATGATATGCTCAAAATGTGCAGCTAAATATACAACATAGCTCAAACATGACGTATCAGGTGTTAAAGCTTGGAAATCAATTGCTCTAGAATATAGGAGCCTAAAACATGAAGACAGCTCACTGAATAACCTAGTTCAAATCCTCATGCGTGTCACTTTCCACATGTGCTACTTGGGTAGTCCTGCTCTAAGTTCATACATGTACAAATTAAGAGACAATCATTATTAAATAGGAATTTGAGTGCCATTGGGATGCCTAATATTATTCAATACAAAGCAAAACAGTTCTTGTGCAAAAAGGGCTGACAGTCAATAATGCATTACATGGCAGATAAATAGGAAATAGAAGGTCAAGTTTCATAGTAGTGTAGCTACTTTTTTCTTTTTAATAATAATTTCAATTTAACTGTTAAAGTACTCTGTGAGGAAGAGCAGTGTTAGTTCTCTTCTTCACAGAATACCTAAAATATAGCTTTAGGTCATTTTTTCACATTACGATTAACTAATACAATGAAAGACCTAATGATAAATGCATGTAATGCAAGTTAGTTGTTATTCAGGCTTACAAGGCATTTATCAACAAAATGGATAAAAACTGAAAGCATAAAAAATGTATATGAAAAATACCAAATGACTCCCACAGGATTGGAAGATAGGGAATTCTTGTGCATTAACACAAGAATACTGTAATAAATAAATACATTTAAAGCACAAAATTATTTCTTGATGAACAATCTTTATTTGATTTAAGAAACCACAGAGATATTTCAGAGACAAACAACTGCTGGAGTTGTACTGTAGAAAACATAGGTCCTCCAATGGTATAGAGAGACATTAATTGCAAGGCAATTTTTGGTCTCGGGGATAAAGTGTTTTCTATCCCAACTGAGCAGCTAAACGAATGTCTGACAGGGGCCACAGAGGTATGGCAGATTAATGGGTAAATGAAGGAATACAAGGCAGTTAAGCTTTGGGGCAGGTTACCTAGGGAGACTGTAATCCCCGTCACTGGAGGACTCTTAGAAACAAGTCAGGAATAGATCTAGATATACCTGAATTCACTTCAGAGCAAGAGCTTTGACTAGATAATCTCTTGAAATCCCCCCTCCCCCCTTCCGCATTTCTGTGACACTATTATTCCATGAAACTCTTTGTCAGATTGTCTGCACTGGGTCTGGTGTACAGTACAGCAACCTAGGCTAAACCCTGGAGGGTTTTATGCAACCGTACGCCAGTTAGGCATCTATCTGCCCATCTGTCTTTGGTATCCACAGAATGCACAACTCCCCTCCCGGCCCCAAACATCATAAGTGCCTCACACTCTGTAATCCATTTACCCTCATGACACCCCCATAATTTAAGAAAGTATCATTACCCCAGTTTTACAGATGGAAACTAAGACTAATTTGCCCAAGGATGTCTGTGAGGGTCTAAATGCAGACCTTCCCTGAGGACTGGACTGCCTTCCTTTCACTGAACTTTTGAGAAACATCAGTCTTCCCCAGACCAGGGGAAAACTCAGCTGCTCTGGCACAAAGAGATATGTCCCTAACTGAAAGCACAGCTCCAAGTTGTTGCTGGATTTTTTTAAATAGTGCTGAGAGTCAACTTTGACCCAAACACATTTCTACTGTACAACGTCTGACTGCAACAATTTTATAGTCAAAGTACAAACAACTGAGAAACATTTTTTCCAGCAAGTTTTGACTTAATTTGCAGCAAATGAAACAATATCGTAGAGAAAACTGATTCAGTAGCACCCTGAAAAGGTAACCAAATTCACTTGAAATGTGCTCTGTATTGTCTATGATGATCCTATAGGGTATTGGGAAATCAAGCGCAGCCAGTCACAAAAGTGACGCTGTGGAGATTAATGTCAACTTTTATCCGTCATTTTGACAAGTTCTCTTGTGTGAGCATGAAATTTTAAAGGCACAGTGTCAAAACAAAATGAAAAAGTCGTAATGCTCTCAATCTACTGTTCTCAGAGGGATAGAGCAAGGAGAGGAATATAGAAAAATCAATTTAATGATCAAAAGCAAAGATACTTGACTTCCCTGGTCATTTTGGCAGTTTGCTTTTATCTGCATGGTTCTTGCCTCTAAATCATGGAACAGTCTGACATTTAAAAGTAAAAAAGTGCTAATATATTAAAAGAAATTTGATTGGAGCAGCAATTCACCTCTCTCTGGATTCAGAAGTATAAATAATGCTGCTGCCCACTTTATCTTACATACAAAGAAGTGCAACCACCTCCAACTCAACCTCCACCATTTTCATTTCTGACCCAATTCAACACTGACCTCATTTCTAAAAAGCCTCTATGGACTTGTTCCAAGATCCCTTACACCTTGTCTCACTAGTCCTTTTTCTTCTCTTCCTATGCATCTAATGCTGATCTTCGTCTCTGCCTCCATAGTTTACAGCTGCTGAGTGCAAGAGACTTCTCTACAACAGCTGCTGAATTAAATGGCCAGCCTGCACCCCTCTGTTCATCTGAAAACACCTTTTCTCTCTCGCACATTTCCATTTCTCTTTCCTT